AATGACGGCAGGCTCCTTCTTGCAGACTGTTACCGCTGGACGAGGTGGTCAGCGTCTTCGATAGCGGATGAGGCTGGTTGGACGAGCGATCGACCGGGTGTACGGAGGGGTTAGGGAGAGGAATGCTAGACGAGAATGGGCTGTCGCGATTGATCTGAGGAGGTAGAAACTGGTCGAGCGATAGGCGAGGACGGTTCTTGGCGTTGGGTGTCGAAAAGTCTCCGCTCATCTGAGCTAGATGGTTCGCGCCCGAACGGCGGCCCCACGAGCTTCGGTCATGCTGTCGCTGCTGAAGTGTGGATTTCCTTAACGACCCGGTCCTCCGAGGAATGGATGGTGCTGGCGGTGTGGGCGAAGGAAGCGGCTCACGGTGCGCGACCGAGCCACTACCGAAAAGCTCGTATTCACGGTTGCTACTGCTGGTGTCGTCATGAATCTCGAAGTTCGTTGACGACGGGACGGGTGTCGACCCCCCAAAAATATTCGCGCCCGTCTCGGTATATCCGAAGCTCGCAATTCCGTGCAGACTGCGTCGTTTAGCAACGGGACTGCTGACATTCGGCTGGTCGAGATCCATGATAGCGTCGCTGCGCTTCAATGCGCCCGAACCAGCCGTTCCTGGCGGCAGTTCAGAATTGTCCATGGCTCTGAAGATGTTTTGATGCACAGAGCCGGAGACGTCGAGGTGAAGGCTGTGGCGGGATGACTTTTCCAGCGGTCTCCTTGGAATGGAACTCCTGGGAAGCGGGCTTCGTGGCGTGGTGGAAATGTTGTTGCTGTTGCTGCTACTGTTCTCCTGGCCGGGTGAGTCAGGACCTGGCATAGAACCCGGAATGTCTGTCTCGTTGGTGACACTCAGGGTACGCTTGAGGGGCGACTTCGGGGATGCTCTCAGCCTCGAGAACGGCCGGGGAGGTGTCGAAGATTGCTTTTTCGCGGAGCGCAGCGAGAGCTTGACATTGGGTGAGAAAATAGAAGACGCGGTGGGAGGTGGGTGTTGGGGAGTTGTAGACACGAAGTTGGATGGGGGTGTAGTCGTGGCCGGCTGCTGTGATGGAGTCTGGCTCCTTGTGGACATGCTAGGGCTGTATCGGCGGCAAGGTGACCGATCCACGGGTGAGTGGGAGTTGTTTGGGGAATCCGACCCGTGCGGGTGCGGGTGCGGGTTGGTGCGAGCGAGGTTGAATCTTGATGGTGATCGTGAAAGAGATCGCCTCAGACTCCTGACAGAGGTAGCCAGGACGTCAACGTGATGAACGTGGGTCGGGCTCGGCACGGTGAGTGTGCCACCACCGCCGCCAGAGTAGGACATGGCTAGTGTGTGGACTTGTTCGAGGTCAAGATGCCGATTTGAGGTCTGGATACTGCGCCTTCCCAGACAACCGGAATTAGGATGCGCAGAGTGCAGACAAGTTACGAGGCAATGTGCTCGTATCTCGATGTTTGCAAGTCGAGTGTGTGCAATGCTCCTTACTGCTCTTCGGAGAATGCGAGCAAGATTGGATCAAGCTTCTGTTGCGACTTCCTGAGACGCGAAGATGACTGTGAGCACACTCGTTGATGGATTTCCAGTCGCTTGAGACTATTTTGGTACCACGGGTGAGCGCGCAAGGATACGTATCTGCGATATGCGTGTCGGCGAATCGCGGATACAGAGGCGAGAGGGCGATGGTCTGTGGAATCTCCAACTGTCGAGGGATCGTGCAAAATGTCGCTGGGAGGGTGATGTGAGGCTGGGGAGAGAAGAGAACCCGGCGCGTTCAAAGCATGGCGTGGGATCGCAAGCAGATCACAGGGGATGAGGACCCATTCCCTCAGTCAAGTGAAGTGCTGCTGCGCTGCTTCTCTGTTGGCGTATCGAGTATCTGATGTCGATGTCGATGTCGGGCGGCTGCGCGCGGTCTTCGAGGAATGCGATCGATGGTTGAACGGGTTGGCAAGGTGAAGAGTTGGGAAGTCGAATGCTGTCAGTCAGGTCAGGTCATGCCGTGGAACTCCAGGTCGAGGAGAACGGAAATGGTAGGGCGGTTCAAGGTGGTGGTGGCAATGACGGGTGGTGCCTTGGGTGGGAGAGAGGGCCAGAAACTTGGACGTTGCAGAACGGCTAGTTGGCGGCAGGACAAAGGGGGCGAGGAGTAGTGGGCAGCAGGCGGCGGGAGATGGGACGAGATGTGTGTGTGCTTGTGTTGTGGTTCGGGAGCCAAAGTGGAGGTGCGTGTGCGTGTGCGGTGAGCTGATGCGCGAATGGGCGGCAGGCACGACGCACGATAACTGGGTCCTTCTACCTTCGCGGACGCGCGACCTGGAGTCCCCTTGTTTACTCTCTTACTTGTTCTGGCTAGCCTCTCACGTGATGGCGCGATCCAATGTTATGTGGCATTTATGGGTCTCTCCTAGCACGAGACATGAGGTCCTGCCGTTGGACGTCCTTGCCTTCGTGGTACAGACGGACACGAGGGCTGAGGAGAGAACGGCCGGTGTCGCGAAGAAGGAAGGAAACAAGAGAAAACTTGAATCAGGTTCAGATTCACTGTCCAGACTTCTGTGGTCCAGGTCGCTGCCAACTCGATCATGTTCCTCGCTATCGCGGCATCAAGAGACAGTGAGCGGACCACCCCTGACGCGGTGCGGGACCCGGGAAGAACCCAACGGTCTGGCATCGCAAGGGCCCCGGTCCTGCCACCTTTTTCCTGCCGTTCCTTCTGCCAGCGTTTTTCCAGCACAGCAATTGGTCATGGTGCCCACGCCTCGTCTTTCGCCCGTCTCTGCCAGTAGCTCTCTCTCTCTCTCTCTCTCTCTCTATGTGTGTGTGTGTGTACATGTATATTTCTCTCCCAGTGCTTCTGCAGGGACCCGCCCACGCTTCGCGCCCCCTCCCCCTCCAGAGGGGGCCCAGAGGGGGCGATCGGCTGCTCAAGACACCCTCTCTGCGAGGGGATCCCTTGCCTTTGGGCGTCATATGGCTGCCAGCTGGCCCAGATCTGCCATCACGTTCCTGTATCGAGGCGCAAGCGAAGACGTCAGCACTGTTCTCTCCTCGCGTCGAGCGAGAGAGACACAGAGAGCCAGTCCGTCCGTCAAGTCCGATCAATCCTACAACCCCAGCGTGGGTACCAATAGTGCACGCACACCCCATCTACTCCACCACCACCACCACCACCGACGACTCGGCGGCAAAAAAGAATGGAGATCAAAACAAAACAACACCAACAACATACACCCACAACACACCCACCACCACAACAGTTGGCAACTCAACATCCGGCGCCCCGGAGTGCACTCCAACCTCAAGGCCCCCCTTCCCCTGCTTGGTGCAAGCCTTTTTCTGTCCCCCTATTCCACGAGCATTTTACTCCCCACCGATGATAGAGGGGGAGAAAAAAAGGGGGGGTTCGTGTAATTGCAATCCAATATTATGCTTCATGCTCTCTCCAGGTCTTATTTCGCTTGACCACCAGCCTCCGCTCGTCAATCTTTCCGCCCGTATGGGCCGGGGGGCTGGCGGGGACGTGGTGGAGAACTGCGTGGATGGCCTGCCACAGCCTGACCTCCCGCTCCGAGGAGGCCCAAGCACCTTGGCGGCTCGTAAAGTGTCTATGTGTGTGTGTGTGCCGGAACTTTTCTTACTCACACCCAAGCCAGCGCTCGGGGAGGCGCACTACCTCGTGAGGCGGCTGGGACGGACGGCTGGGGCGGGGCAATGGCAGACGAAAGAGGAAGATCACGCTGGAATGTTGGTTGGCGAGATGGAACACCCGACGCAGCAGGTGAGACCTCTACAGCCTCCGGAGGGCTGCGCCGTCCGCCCCCGTGGGCGTGTTGCCCAGACAGACTTCGATACTTTGCAAATCACTGACTACCTGATGATGCGACGAACTAGGTTGAAGACCCGTCAACCCCCTGTGGAGCCTGTCCCGGCCCAGCCGCACCTAGCCCTCCCGCTGCCTTCCCACCCAGCCTTGGGCCTTTCCCTTCTACATCCATCCGACCCTGAGGCACAGACTCCCGCCATCCGCGCGAAGTGCTTTGTCGAAGGGGTTGAACAAAGAGTTCTGTTGATCCAGCTTGCTAAACCGCACACAGTTCGGATGGCGCGCCGCCCGTGAATCGATGTCCGAGCTTGTCCCTGAGTTGCAGATCTTCGCCGCCCGCGTTCATCAAACATCACACGTTGTTGTCGTCAGCCCACCAAGGTTGGTTGTATCAGTCCATCAGGCGCATAGGGCATCCCACCAGCCCAGGGTGGGAAAAAAAAGACGGGAAAAAAACAGGGAAAACGAGATGACCCTGATCTTGGACAAGGCCCGAAAGCACCACGGCGCCGCGCTAACGAGCATAAACATCGATATTGACAATCCCATCTGAAAATCAAATTATGCCCAGGGCGGATTTCGCAGCCGGGCATGAAGAGGTCCAGGATTCCAATCCCTGACAATCATGCTAGCACTTCCCTCTGAAGGGCGAACTATACGACAACGAGGATGGCGCCTGTAAGGGGTAGAGGAGAGGGGGGACACAAAGAACCCTTCATTCCAGAGGACACTCCACTAGTTCCCCAGCATACCACTCGTGTTTCCAACTGTTCGACTCCGCGACGTGACGAGACGTCATCTGCCCACCATGTCTTGGATACGAAGACAGGACGTCGCTACTCCGACCTCGCGTTTTCGCTCACTGGTCTTGTTGATGAGTCTCAGACAACAGTCTTTTGGTGTCGCAACGATGACAACATCACCACGTTGCGCTCCTGACAGTTTACCCTCGTCATGCGATCTTGAAGCACAGCCTGACGACCCCAGCCCTCTTGTGGAATGTGCTTCAAACGAAAGTCACCTCGGCGGCGGGGCGAGAGTATCGTGGGGTATCTGGAACCAAACGCTGTTGATCGTGCTTTGTCGCCATTTCGGCAGCTTCCAACCGCTATCAATGGAGAAAAAAAAGACGCTTAGTAGAGTCGGAAGAGTGAGGCCCTCCGTCCACGCTGGTCCCATGTCACTGCCGGAACCCAGGGTCCCCCTAACAGGAACGCCTTGCTCATTCCTACGCCCTGAAGCCATAGCAACCACAGCCATCCAGCCTGACTGCGCCAGCAAGTAAGGGAGGCTGGTCGGAAACATGATCCTCTCCGCTGGTCAAACGCAAAAACACACCCCCACTTTCCACCCCATGTGATGACAGACGCCTGACTCCAGACCCGGGCCGACGTCTGTCGGTATCATAAGTCGAAGGACCACACGATGCTGCTACTAGCT